TTTAAAAAGAACAAGGAGGATCTCTGCAGGGAGCAAAGTGGTAGAAGCTGTAAGTTTCAGGACATTAGGCCTGGAGTTGCTCTGGGAGAAGCCATCGAAATACAGGCCCAATTGGTGACCCTCAGAGCAGATTTTGTGAAGAGAGCTCCAAGAGAGATCACATGACATTCTACCAGAGAGAAAAAGCTTAGAGCAGCCCATTTTGACATCTTCCCTAGGAGTCCAACTTGACTAGAGCTGTGAGCAGTAAGTTGCAGAGGTCCTTTTGCTAATCAGAAGGGATCCCAATTCTTGTCCCAATGATTAACAACAATAATTAAATGGTTATTAATTATTTAAATTATAATTTGATAATTTAAAGTCATAATATTAATATTTTAGTAAAGAAAATATTCTTAGGACATTACTTGCTTTTCTATTAATAGTATACACCCTTGGCACCTACCCATTAAGGTCTGGAAATTCCTCATAATGGATGAGGAAGCACACTCTACCAAAGATCAGCTCTTAAGGTGCATTTTTCTTCTTCAGTAAATGCACTCACACCCTTCCCAAACTATTACCAGGTCTTCTTTAGTTTCCCTTATCTCACCTGTCTGATTGCCAAAGACTGAATGTAGGCATTTATAATTTCTAATCCTGAAAAGATCATACCTCAGTTGTTAGCAGATAAGATAACATCAGCATGGCCTTCTAGTTATAGAGTGATGCCTAAAGAAACGTCCTAAGATTTGGGTAATGTTCTGTTTCTCATAAAAATCTATGATCTTACCTCGGAGCATCTGAGTCCAAGCCTCAGTAATGTAAGAGTGGAATGGCACACTTCTTAATACTTGGGTATGGAGTGAGGGGAAGTGAGGTTAAAAGAAGGCTTTTCATTAATAATATATCACCATATCCCCTGGGTTAGCAATTAATCCAAGTTTACTGGGCTTATATTGAACATTAGAAGAAGCCCATCCCTTGTGGTCAGAGGATGAAGTAGCTGTTGTTGTTGTTTTTTTTCCCCCCAAGTGTAAGACTGGAATTGTTTCTTGATATTTTAGCATACACTTCTTATCCATTTCTGACATCTCTCTCCACATTAAAAAAAATAATCTGGGGCTGAGGAACAGGCTCACTCTAATATTAAAATTTATAAAAGGGACTATGACATACTGAAAAATCTCTTTCTTCCAAGCCATTGGCCTATTTAGTTTGAGTAAAAATTAAGTTAAAGTTATATTTAAAAATATGTATTTGGCACTTAACAGAAATTGTTTTTCAGAATTTTTAATTTCATGAATATTGTTGAAGAATATCAAATTCAGCAGGAAAAAAGGAGAAAATAGAGGCTAATGAAAAAATGAGAAATAGAGGATAAAGAGAAATAAGAGAAGAATGAAG